TGTGTAAAATGAAATGCAGAGGGCATTCTCTTCAAACGGATGGTATTCAAAGAGCAGGGAGTTTCAAAAGGAGACAGCACTGAGGGCACTCCGGTTTGAACTGTGTTTGCGCAAAGGCTCCTGCTCTTTTTCAAAATCAAAAAGAAATTCCTGAAGTGCACTCTCAGGGTTTTCTTGGAGAGAGGGAAGGGAATTAGGGGGTAGAGGGGAATATTAGGAGACATAAAGAGAAAGGTGGTGAAGTCAGACAGACAGCCAGAGATGAGATTTACCAAACCGACCGGGGGAATACGCGCGACCGAGGGAGGGAGCCGCGGACCGCGAGGTAAGAGAAAGGAGAGGAAGAAAGTGAGGGACACATAGAAGCAGAACGCTGGCCCGGGGCACTGGTACGTGCCCTGCCTCTTCAGGAGACTCAGAGAGGAGGAGGGAAAAGGAAAGAAAACTGAGAAAGAACAGAAACCCAGTTTCCATGCGCACCCAGCGGCGCCCTACATGGCTGCACCGATCTGACCTCGGCGCTGCAGGAATGATGCTTACTGAATTACCCCGTCCACGGCCCGGTGCCCCGTCATGCCAGCTCCCTCACACACTCATAATAAACACACTCCATCACCTGTTCGTCCAAAGCACGCCGCCCAAAGAGAGCATATTAATTATAGATGTACGTTAAATTACTTTCATTACCTCCCCTATAAGTGGTCAGGACAAAGACACAGATGATGGATGGAAGGGGTTGTTATGTCTCTCTGTCCCTTTTCTTTACTTGGTCTAACCTTTTGTTCTTATTCTGGTCTTTCATTTGCATCAGTTCCTTCACTCACATGGCGTTCATCTTTCTTTTCAGACTGGAACCAGACAGTCATGACTAATCTTTGAATGAAAAATCGGCAAACATGGAATTAAGGGCAACGCAAAGTGCAACACGAGTACAATGCATAAACCAAAATGGCTAAACCCATGTTTAGCTAAAACGCTGCTTTAAAAAACATATTTTGCTACTTGGTAATCCATGAACGGTGTCTGGACAACAACTGGAAATAGTTAAAGCATTGTAGAGCACTGCTTCCAAAGATTAATCATCTGCTATCTTGGACACTGGATGTAAAGCGGGTGGTCCCCCATGCAAGGCTTCAAAGGTTAGGGGTCATCTTGTACTTCAAAATTTACTGATGTGAAACCAGGTGTCGTCTGAACATAAAGGTGGTCATGCTGTTTCCTTATTTCTGTTTCAGTTTTTTCTTTACTTTGTCTATGAGGGAGTTGTGGCTTTGAGGGGGAGGACCATGAACCGGATCCGCTTTGGAATAACTCTGTCTTGTGTCTAAAATTTGGAATAAATACTTTCCGGGTCAACACTGTAACAACAATATGCAAAGACGATAGCATTTCCGTCAGGGAGGCTGTTGTAAATTAGTTGCATTTTGGTAACCAAACAAGTCATAAGAATGTACCATCATAAAAAGGTGAACCCAGAACTTTCTATTTCTTGTTTCTTAGAAAGTTCTTCATGGGTTTGCTGGTACATTTGGGGTCATTGTCACGTCGTAGAGTTTAGTTCTGTTGACACTTTAAGTCTTTCCTGCTGGTCTCCTGTTTTCCTGCTCCATCCTCTGACACATGGTCGAAGTCAAAGTGGATTCATTGATGACAAACTTGCCAGGTCCTCCTGCAGGTTCCATCAGGGGTGTGGAGTCGTCTTGTAGCTTCCTGTGGTTCTGACCTTCGCTGATGTTTTCAAACCTCTTTACCTAAATTATTTTCCATGCAGATTTCAAATTCTTGTAAAGACCTCCTTTGATACCTTTACCAGATTTACCGTGGCTCTAATGTTATTTCAGCCATTTTGAGTAAGAATAAAAACTGGGGTTTCCTCAACAGAAGTTGAAAATCCTTTACGAACATTTTTACATAACATTTTTAAAAAGGTCTTTTTTATGGTTTGTTTACAATATTTGACGTTTTTTCAACATATTTGGACGTTCACACACGAGTTTTCACATGACTGTAATTACACGTGTGACTCGATGAACGGCACGTTGCAAAGGTCTTCTTTGCAAAGCGCCGTTTCGATACCGGATCAAACGAGGCGCTGATCGACAACATTATCTCAGGACGAACACTGACAGAGCAAACATCTCCCTTTCCAAACTCTGTTGGCTGCTCAAAGAAATAGGTTCTGTACGCACGCAGACGTCTCCCTGCTTCTACGGTCCTCCGTTTGCCCGATGTCAATCCTGCAGGGAAGGCGTTGCGTTTGGCAGCACTCACTTTCTCAACTCTGCAGCTCGACATAATCTCTGCCGCTCTGAAATGTCCCCTTCAATTTCCTCTGCTGATAGATGCCGGTGCTCTCTGAGCCCTCTGGGACCGCATTCTTTCCTCTTTTACTTGTCCCCAGCTCTTTGCTTGTGTAAGACCACTTCAGATTCATCAGGTCAGACCTCCACACCACTGCCACCACCACCCAGCCTTCACCTCCACCACCTCCTTTTGTAAACAGCAGAGCTCAGATTCGCACAGATCTAAAGGTCAGGGGAAGGGGCTGATAATCAACACAGAGACGCCGGTCTCTGCTCTCTCTGCTTCTTTAGGCGGCGTGTTGTGAGAGCTCGGCAGGCGGGAACGCTTTCATGAAGAGTGATAACCAATTACAGACACCTTCTCCCAGTGCGGGAGCTTCTTCACACGGGAGAGACGACAGCAAACGGAGACCCGTCACTCGCGGTTAGCAAGCGTCGTTACGTTTTAATTCCAGTCCTCGTCAAGAGGCGAGGAAGAGACTCCCTCTCTCCTCGAAAGACACGCGCTTTGTTTCAGCCACTGATCTCACTCGGCCGTGCTTTTGTCACTTTTGGAGGCAAATCAAGTTTCGCAACCACGAACTTCAACGCAGTTCACAAGGGTTGAACGTGACAGAGCTCAGCATCACGTCTCACAGGTTTCTTCCAGGATCAATCAACATTTTGCTGATTGGCTAATAGCTACTGGAGGGGAAAAAAACAGACCCACCACACAGAGCCATGCTGCCATTATCATACTAATTCAAGGTGTGTTCAGTCATGTGTGATGTTACCAAACAGTGATTTGAAAGTAGTCTACATATTTGAATTTTGGTCTCATGTGACCAGAGTTTTGTCTGTTCAAATAGATTGAACAGACTTATGGTTTACATAGACATAAAATAGAACAAATACATATTAATAGAGCTGGGGTGTTTTGGAATAAAATATAGATTTGATTTTATTGACCAACTCACATAATTATCTCTGTCAGGTTTTGAACCGACAGTCCAGTGTCTACTTATTGAAAACCTGTTTCTGTACAAACTGAAAGAAATTAGAACATTAACACCTAATAAAAACATAGATCTCAAAAAACACTGTAACAACTAAACATAAGTCCCTCAAGCATTGATTTTGGAACATTACGGACTTCAAAATATGAAAAATGTAATTTTGTCATCTGACAATATGTTCAGCGCTGTAAAATGCAAAACTTGCAGATCTAGTTTATGCAACTCTTTAAAATCTCTTGTTCTTGCAAAAACGAGTGGAAAAATTGTGGCGCTAGGGAAGGAGGAAGACGTCGCCGTCCTCTGATTGGCTGCTGTCTGATCCCATTAAGACACTTCTGGTGACCGTCACTCTAGAGATGCATGACGTGTTGTTGCAAAATTGTGGGGGGTTAACTCATATGCCAGCCACACTTTTCAGATGTCCGTTTATACGACTTGGTGTTGATCTTTCACATTGCAACAAAGAGCCCACTGCACTGAACCCCATCGAAAACCACCTGGTTACTCCACCAAATATTGACCTCTGAACTCTTCCCGAGTGAAAACATCATCGTTGTCGTTTCGAAGTCATTATGAACTTGTTTTCTTTGCATAATTTGTGGTCTGAAAGCGCTGCATCTTTTTCATTATTTTGACCGTTTCTCATTTTCTGCAAATAAATACTAAATTTTTGCTTGGAATTTCAGAGACATTTTGCCAGTAGTTCATAGAGGAAAAGAACAACCTTCATGTTACTCAAACATACACCTACAAAGCGTGAAATCAGTGGTCTCCTCATGTTTTTTTACCTCAGCATTCCACGGTTTGCTTACACATGGAAGGTTTTGTTCCTTCCTCCTGAGAAGTCATCTGGGATGGAAATTTCCTGCGACTTGTGGCCATCAGAGGCGACCTTCACGCCTCTGCGGCAGCGCTGACATTTCTACACAAGCGGAGCGCCGCAATAGGCAACCTTACGGTTTGTTATTCACAACGGCTGATGTTTCTGTCGCTCTACATTGTTTGACCCGATCTTCTTCCCGGCCCTCTGGAGAGGCGCAAGTTGTTGTTTTTTTTTTTTTTTTTTATCTCTAAGCAGGGAGGACAGCAGTCACGGAGCAAACTCTGCGCCGGCAGAGGAGGAGGGTCAGCGGGCCAGAGGGGCGGAAACAGGAGGTGAGATGGAATATAATAATGACGGACCTCTGGCCGCGGCGTCCGCAGCTTTGTCTCAGGGGTATCTTTCCACCTTGTCATGTCCAAAGACCTTGTGCAAAAGTACAGGAAATAGACCCAAAAAAAAAAAGTTGTGTGTGTTTGCCACTGCTGCCGGTCTAATTTATTGGCCCAATGATTTGCTGATGTGTGTGAGGCCGCACGCAGCGCCGAGCGCTCGCCTGGAACGTGGGGGCCTCGCTTCATTAGGCGCCCGCACCCTTAAGCTGCTGACATTTCCAAACTTGTTCCCCGGTCTTCTAATTGTCATGAAAAATTGGACGGAGTCGCCCGACGCCGAGAAGCTCGGGCGCCGGGGTCTCGATCCGATGGCATTTCTCACGCGTCCCAGTGTCATTTGGCGAGCCGGGCGAACGAACGCGCGGAGCGACAACGCGCTCCCTTCTCATCCGTCTCCGACGGCGCAAGGCGCAGGGAGGGGGCAGCATCCCGACGCCGTTCGTGAACGACGGGGTTTATGAAAGAGAAAGGGCATCGAGAGCAGAGATTCAAACAACTGATTTATTAGGGTTAACAGTGGATACAAAAACTGGACAGGTGTGAAAATGTCTTTAGGGATTATGAAACAATAGAAAAGCTGGCATCTTAACTGAAACACTGGAGCAGAGTGCTGTAAAAAGTATTTGCACCTTTACAGATTTTTTTTTTTTTGCCCAACTTCGTTTCAGATCATTAAACATATTTTGACAGCAGATAAATAACCAGAGAAAATATTATTCTTCCACCAAACCATCATAGCCACGTGAAAGCAGGAATTTACCTCCCTACATTCTGAACATTGCAAAAACCCTCTTATCTTGTGAAATTAAAACATGTCTGCAAAGAACAATTTCTCTGCAGCAATGTAAAAATACTTTTGCCAGCTGGTACAAAAAGCTCAGTAGCAGTTGTTGGGTTTAGAGGACAATTACTTTTTTCCAGCGGGGCAGCTGTTCTTCTTACCCTTTCCTTCACTTTTCAAAGCAGTGAAATCATTGTTTTGATTTAAAAAACAATTACTTACAAAGGTTTTTTTCCTCTGATAATGAAACTTCTTTGATGATCTAAAATATTTAAGTGAGACAAAAAAAAAAAAAAAGCAAGAACATTAAAAATCTTTTTCTTCTATTTTACAGCATTGCAGATTTAGGAATGTCTAAATGCACATTTTCCTGATGAACAGCATAAAACTCCCTCATTTGTGCAAAATGGCATTAGCTAACTCGCGTTTACCATCTCGAAAGGTTGCATGGACTGAAGATATTCATTTTTATTGCCCTAATAAATCTTTTTAATTCTAGGAATTGTAAAATAATAATAAAAAACACACACGCAACTAATTTTGCAATACACTTCAAGATGAAAGCTAAAATTTGCTAGTATTTCACATACACCTTAAAAATCACACATAAAGCTTGGCTCAGCCTGCTGTGGTCCTGAGATGCACCAACAGGAGAAACCCTGACACGCTGATAAACATGGAATAATGAAACGCTGCGTCAGACTGTATGAGTGACCCGCCATGTTGGGCAGGGACTCTGTCTGGACTGGGATGTTACTCGGGTCATGCAAGACGTCGAGCTTTTAGCGCATCATGTTGATGCTGCCACCAGTACTTAGTGTTAGTCTTTTTTTCTTCTTTTTTTTACAATTCTGTGAATTATGTAAATGTTTCTCCAGTATTTAGTGAATTGTGTTAAAAGCCTAACAGTATTTTGTTTTAAAACATATTCATTCTCACTGCCTCACATGTAACAGGACAACAAAATGTGGCTTTATGTTCCAGACAGAACTCCCCCTCTCCCCCCAAAAAAACAAAAACACTTCAATTTAAGATAGGAAAATAAAAACCATAAAATATTGTAAAACCTGTTGACATCACATCTCCCCTCTTTACTTCAAAAACCCATCAGGTTCCTCCAAACACGGCTGTCGTCTTGAGGTATCTTCGTAACAGGCTCAGTCGATGGCTGTAAACAAATTCTACAGAAACAGAGAAACTGGCTGGATCCCGTCGCAAAGATCAGACAAACATGGAAATGTGGGGAAAACGCAGCCTTTCAATTAATCAGTGGGTAAAATATCAAATAACAGTTTCGAACAAAATTCACTCGTTCATTTAGAGCGCATGTTCAGTTTTAGTTTTTCACAAAGGTGATATAAATTTGAGGGGACACAAAGCTCAACTTCAGCAAAACCTCCAGAGAACTGGCATGTTAAAGGCTCGACGTCTCCAAAGTTTGAGATAATGCTGCTGAGAGTAAAGCATGAATTACACTATACAGCATCACCAAAAGAGCAGCACTGATGCAAAATACACTCACTCAATTAAAAGTACAAAGTAGCCGTCCGGTTAATTAAAAGTAAAAACAGTATTTGGTAAAAACTCTACTCACATAGTGTGTGACAAATTGCATGATCAGTCATTTATTGTTTGAAAATCATGTTTTCAGACGAACCAAAATATAAAGATATGTGGATTTTTTGTGGGGGTATTTTAAGGATGAAAATGACCAACATTCATATAAAAAAACATACGAAACTTTAACATAAAGTTAAAGTTGTGTGTCTGTCTGGTGAATTTTTGGTTAAAACATGTTTGTTTGTTTCCAGAAATTTTACTCAAGTAAGAGTAATGATACTTCATAATAAAGTTACTCAAGTAAAAGTAAAAAGTGAAGCGTAGTAAAAGCACTCCTAAAATTGTATTTTTTTTATTTGCTGTTTGTTTTTTTCAAAAAAGTTACTCAACTAAATGTAATTGAGTAAATGTAGCTAGTTACTACCCAACTGTGAGCATTACCATCACTGGTTTAACAAGTTTCTTCTTTGGGCTGTGGTTCTGGTCGGGCCGTGTTCGCCTCCTTCACCTCAGAGTCCATCAGTTCCATCCGAGCCTCTGAGCTGCTCGCTTGCTCCTGCTTCTCCACGGTGTTCTGGTCCTGCTCCGTTTCTTTTCCTCTGTTCGCTTTCTCTAGCCTGTTGTAGTTGTAGACGTTCATGACGAAGAGGAAGAGCCCGCCGGTCGTGATCACTCCTCCACACATGAAGAAAAGGTACTTGTAGTCGTCAAAGATGTCCACCAGTAACCCTGGAACAGAAACATGCAAATTCCAAGTCAACACAGTTTAAGCACTTTATTACAACTCAGAGTGAGCAGGAACTTGGATTTGGACACTTATATGCGTGTGCAGAAGGAAATGAGTGAGGCATAGGGTTAGGATTACCCTAACCCTAATGCTTTCTGGCTCTCCTGTTTTTCTAGGAAGACAATTTGGACAGCAGAAGCGAAGGCCATTCTCCGCAACATAAATACGCAGAAAGGCTCTGCAGAAAGATGACTGATGTGCTTCAGACTCGACTTAAAGCTCCAGGTTTCCAGAAACCAAAGGGTCTGGGTCGCCTTCGTCAAAAGATGGAAAAGGTAGTGACGGAAAAAGATGGAGAAATCCACGTTCGTCAATGTGGACGAACACGGATATCCATCCGTTTTGTATTTCCACCTTGGAAATGCAATCGAAAGAGACTGGAAGGCAGAAACTGAGGGAAAATAATTAAATATGGAGACGTTTGCAAGAATCCTGCTTTAACATATCACACTATAGATGACATGCTTAAAAAATCAACTCTTTTATATGAACTTTTCAGACAAACTCACTAACTACCACATTCCAGAACCCATCACACTGAAAGAGCATTTTAGGGTGAAAGGACCATGAAAGAGGTTTCTCTCATCACGTTCCAGCTTTGCAGCAGATGATGATGGGCGTAATATTTGTGTATGCGTTTGCACCGTGAGGGGTCATTTTTCATTCTGCCTCTCAATGCATTATCTGATTGATAGCACTCATCTGGTGCCGGTGCTCAGATGACCACCACCCTCATTAAGACAATCCTTTATTGGCTGAACAGTAATTATGTCCATCTGGCATAGTCACCCCTTTCTCTCTTTTTTTTTTTTTTTTAGTGCCTTCGCAGCCTAATTATGGCCCAGGTACAGGACTTTAATGACGAGAGTTTGAACTGAGCATCATTAAACACCCAACGCAAAAGACTAATTACCCTCACTTACCTCACTTCCTCCTAATTGGCTTGACCTGAGGGTTCGGAGGAGCAGTAACAAGCAGATACGGGATACATAACGATTGTGCCCTCTGGAGGAGAATGTTACACAAGCAAGGAGGCCCTTATTTGGCCCCATTAAAAGGGGCCCCTCGGAAAGGGGTCGCTCCCAGTCGAAACTTTTCACTTTAGCGAAAAGCGGAGGGAAAGTTTACCTGTCGAAAACCCTCATCTTTCCATTTTCATCGAACTGAGCATCTTCTAAATGACCGCTTCGTTTTCTAAGGAGTGATATTTTATCAATAACAATTACGACCGAGAAAGTACGTGCATCTCTTCAACAGATTTAGCTGCTAACGCTGCACCGGTGGAGCTCCAGGAGAACACCACTAGATTTCGAATGACACTGAAACAAAACGGAAAACAATCTAAGCGGAGGATAATAGAAGCCGCTGCAAAAACTAAACATTGCGCACAGTGAACATTCTGCAACAAAGTCAAGAACTATCCTTGGTCACATCAGAAACATCTGAACTTTTGCCTTATTCTGTTACCTTACAAATGTCTTTGAATATTTTGTTCGAAATAAAAAAGTAAATATCTAAGCAAGACATTAAAACTGGCTGGTATAGTTTACACTGTTAGTAGTTTCAGTCATACGTGGTACTGTATGAGCGAAAGAAGAAAAACGTAGATATTGGAGCGTGGGGGGGGGGTCATCTGATATTTTTCTAGTTTAGATAATTTACAGATAAGCACACAAAAAGTGGATTTGCATACTAGTAGGAAATGTCATTCCTTTGAGTTCTTTTCTTTCTCTCCTCCTTTTCCGATTAAACGGTTGACAAATCAGCCCATTATCGCCCTCTGCTGGGCTGTAATGAGAGATGTGTGCAATTCAACTGAGAGTGAGGTCCAAGCGGCCAACGTTTGTGGACACAATGAGACCCTTAACAAACTGGGCCTTTCATACAAACAACACTTAAGGTTTAAACACTTGGGTCTTGCATGTTTGGAAGTAGCTTGCTTCCAAACGAGCCACAGCCCACACAGATTCATCTGACTTTACATCGTCGACTCGCCCTTCGGTCTATGTTGCTGCAGCCAAATATTGCAACATTTGGCTGCAGCGATCTGAGAGTTGAGTTGCAGGAGAGTTGAGATTTGTACACATGGCTGAGATGCGTTTCAGCACGAATGCAAAGGAGCACAGACAAATCACATTGAGGGCACGTTACCTGCAGCCGGCGGTCCCAAAAGCATGGGGAAGCACTCTATGATGGTCACCAGTCCAACGGCACTGGGGAAGCGCTGGTTCCCCATCAGGTCCATGAGGCATTCAAATATCAGTGCGAAAACCATCCCAAAGCCCACTCCGAAGAACACGGCGTAGGCCACCAACAGCGGGTAGGTGCTCATCAGGGGGCAGAGGAGGTGGAACGTGCCGTTGAAGACCATGGCGAAACTGAAGAGGAACTGGATCCTCGGCCTGACCCACCTGCTGTTGGCCACCAGCCCCGTGAGAGGCCTGACAAACATGTCGACGAAGCCCATGATGGAGAGCAGATAGGCGGCAGAGTACTCCTCCACGCCTCGGCTGACTGCGTACGCTGACAAAAACACGATGGGCGCGTAGGCGCCAAAGATGAACATCACGTTTCCAACGAGGTAAATGACAAAGCCCGGATTCTTGAAGAACGACAGATCCACAAAGGTCTTCACTTTGTCCAGGCGGCTCCCTTTCGACTTTGTGTTGTTCGGCTGGTCCACCTCCTTCGGTGGGGTGGACTGCCGAGCGACGGGTCTCATTACGGCCCCCGCAACGCAGCAGTTCAACATCATACCCCCGAGGATAAGCAGGCTTCCTCTCCAGCCAAAGTGTCCTAAGAGATACTGGTTGAGTGGGGCCAGGACGCAGAGGAACACCGGACTGCCGGCCATGGCAAGGCCGTTGGCCAGCGGTCGCTTGGCGAGGAAATATTTACTGATGATGGTGAGAGACGCGTTCAGGTTGAAGCAGAGACCCCAGCCTGTATGCAAGAAAGATGGTAGGGGGGAGGGATGAAAAATAAATAAATAAAAGAGAGTCACATTTAAAATGCTTAAGAAGGAAAAGTTGTGATGAAGCTAAACTCTAGAGGGTCCTTTCCTAAATTAAATCAGAACTGATTGTACTCCATGTCCATTTAGGTTTCATCTCATTTCAGTTTTGCAGGATAAAATCTCATTACAGAATGCTGGAATTATTTCAGAAATAATTTCTCCATTTAAGTAGAAATAAATTAGGTAGCCTGGGTAATACGTTCACTCTCCTACCTTCTGCTCTGGACATATTAATTTAATGGCGCCTTAATTTAAGGAAGATGAAGAGCTACAGCTACATGGTTGCGGTGCTAGATTTTCTCCTTCCAATGTCAATTTGCTGCTCTGGTCTGGTCTAAGTTGCTCAAACTCATTATTTTTTGTAAACTAACTTTGACGCAGTGGTGAAACTGTGTCTGGTTAGTAAAATTTTGTATTAATAATATTTAGTTTGTAGTGCGTTTTTTAATTTTTTTTTAACATTTACAGGAACAAGGTCCGTTTAGGCGAGTGTCTGTTTTATGACGTCAATACAGCAGATATACTGAGACAACTTCATCTAAGCCTTCACAATGATAACCTACGCATACATACACTTAATGCTTAACTTCAATAATAATAACCAATGTAACTATTTACAATATCCCTCTTAGGCTGTGGACTTTAAACAACGCGATGCAGAAGATATTAACTAAAACAGGGAAAACAAGAATGGTGATGTTGATATAATTTACATTAGAGTTAAACTAATATGACGACAAATTTTTGTGAAAAAAAAATTACATGGTTAAACACATTATGTAGGATGTAGGCATTGATGGTAACAAAGGTTTTGAAGAATTAAGCTGACTGAAATAATCACATTATTTTTGGTTTATCATAATTTTAGCTGCAGCAGGAAAACTAGCTGTCTTTCTATTGGACAATGATCACATGGTGTTGTACATTTCTGTGTGCAGCAGACATTTTTACTCAAGATCATCATATTTTGTGAATTTCATACGAGCCTGTACCTGGTGCCAAGAGGTCTTTGAGGTACAGATGATTAGGAAGTAAAGAACGACATTTGTTGCCGTCTATCTGACTCAAAATCAACGTCTGTTTGCAGGCACCGCCTATTGTCTTTGCTGAATCTCAACGGGTAGAAAGAATGTGAGAGTAAGAGGGGGGGGGAATGAGAAAGCCTTAAGCTTTTTGCAGTAAATGATTGTCTGTTTAGTTACCTTTGCTAGATAAAGCTGAATGATGCCATTTTGTCACTATCCAAGGGCTCAAGGGAACAAAGTCGTGCCCCTGGGCACAGGACACAGCTTAGCCACTTGCTGGGACTATTAATGCTTCATAGGAGCCTTCGGCGGAGTAATGAGCCTCGTAGGGTGACGGCGGGCCCCCATGCGACGCCCGTGATTGGAGACTGCAGGAAGGCGACGGAGGCCGATTAAAGCCTATGCTCTCTGGGATCAGAGCTAGTTCTGTCTTAATTACTGTCATGGCGCTGGTTCTCTTGCCGCTCGAACTGCACCTCAGGAGCTGAGGCAGATGCCCAAAGCCCAGGAACAAATGGCACAGAGGCCAAATCGGTGGAGGCAGCTCTGCATCAAGAGCTTCTTAGCAAATACAAAACGAAAATAAATAAATAACTCTGGAAATTCCTCTGCCTCCAAGCGAATAGTCCATCGAGAACAGGAAGAGTTTTTGCAAAATGGCAAGAGAAAGCGCTTTGGATCTCAAAATAAGTTAAATAAATCTTGTCGAACAACATCCAGGCAGTTAAGTCGTTACAAAAAGCAGCCAAAATAATCACATTTATGACGCTGCAAAATACAAAAACTCAACTATACCTCCAATGATGCCAATGCAAAGGTAGAGGTAAATGATGGAGCTCCCAAATGAGGCTGTTACCATAGAAACCCCACACATCAGTCCGCCCATCATGACCACTGGTCGACTTCCGAAGCGACGGACCAACACGCTGCTCACTGGACCTGGAAAAGAGGAGGGGGAAACAATAACTGGGTTAGTCTTTCATTGCATTTCTTTGTCAAGTCAAAACCCAAAATTCCAAAGTATACTTCATGTGACAGGCCGACACGAAATGAAGCGTAATTGTGAATGAATGAGAGAGACATGTGGTCTTCAGACTGTTGTTTTCCCCAGCATGTTTTACTCCCCGTTGGGAGAGATTGCATTTGGAAGAATACCGTCTGCAGAAAGCTGGTGATGACTCTGCAAGCAGACAAAATATCTTTTTGCAATGCTTTTTTTCCCCACAGGTGGCATCTCAAAAAGTTTGGAGAAAGCGTCCATGTCAGAACATTAACCTGCCCCGGTCACTTCAAAAGGATCGAGCTGCCTCATCTATTTCTAGACGAGTTGGAAATTAATTCATGTACCTAAACAACGGGTGAAAGAACTTCAGACTAAGATGGTGGAAAACCTCCCTTAGTAAAAAACAAACAGTCCAGTGACTCATTACATTTTCCTCTGATATTGCACAGCGCTTTGTTTAGAGATCTATCAGCAAGTGAACAATCTTTCATATCCCGTCAACCTTTCCGTCATCATAACCTTGTCTGAAAGCGTGATTTTGCACCGCTAGTCTATGGTAAGGGCAAGCTGCACATTCATCTTACCGGGATTCAGCAAAATACACACCAAACTATTCCGCTCAATCAAATCATTCTGACAAAATGCATGTTTTAGATTTATAGCTGCTTCATTCAGTTGACCTACCTTCGTCTGACTGGTGCCTGATGAAGCCTGGCAGAAATAATTAGCTAAAAAAAGGTGCAAATAAATATTTTTTATTATCATAATAACGCCACAAAGTATTGTGCTAATATATGATATGTAAAGATCAAATTTCCAATTAATTACTCCAATTAATAATACAGTTCTTTTACTGATGAGCTTAGTGATGAGTGACACCAGTGGTAGTTCTAAATACAAGTCAAGCAAAAGGAAACATTTAAACATCAGAAAATCTTTGTAATCTGCAACTGCTTTAACATTCAAGGTCACACTGAATGAACTGATTGATGATCAGTGAATTCTTTTTTTAAACTACTTGTGTTCGATTTGAATGTGTGAGAAGGAAAGCGTCGCGTAAGCAAAGCTTCATTCATTGATCGATCGATGATGTTTAAATCACAGCTCAAATACAGCTCCCTAAAACGGCCCTTCGTTTCCATAAATGTGAGTGAAGACTGAAAAAGAAAACTCTCTCCGTGTGATCTTCAAAACGAATCCTTCCCAAACTCTATTTACCGTACGTGAAAATATCCACACTGTGGCATGTTTTTCACCATTAAGGAGGTGCCAGCAGGGGTCAAAGATAGCTCATCATTCTCAGTGCAGCCGCGTCCCCGCAGACCATCTCTCTTTCTGCAACCATTTCCGTTTCCATTATGGGTTTATCATTCAGACTCCTTGAGTCAGAGGTTTTCTGAAGAGGCTGTCATGTCTCTCCCATGGGGACCCGGTGTTGGACCCCAGTGTGCTGAACCTTCCTCTGATATATCCCACTGTCCCTCTCCTCCGCTGGGTGACATTGCCGAAGCCTCGCCAAGGACAATATGATAAAGTCCTGTGCCTGAGCCACGGCGGAGCGGCATATTTCACCGCTTAGGCCTCCCTGAGCTGAGCGCAGGTAGATTACATGCCCCGCTTTCCTGTCACCTTGAACGCGGCCACCGATGAGCTCGTGTGAAGCCTCCACAAGACTTTGATTTAGTCACATTTTCTGTCACCGACCCGTGATCCAAATCCCCACAGATTGAAACGAGATGCAGGTTTTTTGTTTTCTTTTTGGGCCTTACCCTGGCAGCTCAGGGAAACAGTTTGGTGGGTCTGGTTGCTCTGTCGTGTCAGAGGCGGTTTTGTTTGACAACCGGGTTGGAAAAGAAAAAAAAAAAGAAGCACATTTTCCCTTGTCGTGTTATTAAATTAACAACACGACAGCCTATATTTGGCTCAGGCAGGAGACTGGACAACCCGTAACAATTATAAGAACACAAATGGCCGAGAGGAGGGACACGACACACATAGCGGCAAATAAGTCAAACCGAATAATGAGAGTGATTACTGCACAATACCGTTGTGATCAAAGATTGGCTACATGATTGGCACACGTTGTAGCGGACTGCTTTCGCATTTACATACAAGTGTGTACAGCAGTGGAGGAGAAGAGCATCTGCAGTAAATTTACAGGAATAGCCACAGAGTGGTCCAGCAACGTGGAGGAGGACTGGCTACAATGGTCTCATGGCACTTGAGACCACACATTCACAAGCGCTTCGTAAAAAGGCACTTAACCCTTTTTCTAAATGTCTGACGTCAAATCGGACTAAACTTTCGCAAAATCATCTCTTTGCCAACTGCCAGTAGAATGAGACGGAGGGAAACGAACTTCTGGGATCAGAGAAGTCATTTTAATGTAAAAACAGAAAAAAAAAGAAAAAAAAACCTGCAAAAAATATTAATGTCTCCCTGAATGTAGGATAAGATAAATGAGAAAAAGGGCATATTCCTAATGAGTTTTGAATTTGGGTCAGGTGACTAAATCACACTGGCAACACTCCTCCCATTAGCCCCTCTAAAGCTACGTCAATGGGCGAAGCCGCTCATGTGAAGCCAATTTATCCATTATCTGTCTGTAGAAATGAGACGACACACTGGTCACTCTCTTTGTGAAGAAAAAGATTTTTTTCAAGGAGGAATTGAAGCTTTACTGTGACATGTCGGGGTTTATTTTCTAAAGCTCCATCAGAAAATGGACGGCAGACATTTCTGCTTGTCCATTTTAACCCCTAATCCCGCCTCAGCGCAGTAGAAACATGTTTCAGAAGGGCAGGAGTTTGTTACACCTCATGTTCCATGATTAAGTCTTTTGAACTCGTTTGTTGACCATCCTGATAGCCGTAATCATTTCTCTGTTTGGACAGCGATGAAAACTCACCGCCTGCATACATTACGGCCAGCATGATGGAGGAAATCCAGGCTATTTCACTGTAGCTGGCCCCCAAGTCTTCTTTGATCGGCCTGAAGAAAATGGACAGGGCTTTGGGAGTGGTATAAGCGAATCCGATGGAAATGTGGGCGCCGAGCACCACCATCCAGCCCCAGCCCCCGTCCACGGGCGTGGGACCCAACTCGTCTGCAGCAGCGGGGGGCATCTTTCTGTTCAGAGTGGAGGACATGAAGAAGATGTCAAAGAACAAACGTGTGTGATTTATACAGAGCTAAAGCAAAGCCTTCCTTTAACAGGGAATAATAATTAAAAGAAATAATAAAATTAAGGATCTTGCTTTAAACTTCTTCACAAGTTTCTTCCTGACCCGTCTCCTTTGTTCCTTAGGTGTTTTGTGAGGCTGTCTGTTCAACCCTGCCGCTCAAATGGCAGCTCCAGAAGAGTCACTTTCCACTGGATGATCGTCAATGTTTACCGGGAGAGTTCCTTCCCACTGTCACCACATGCATGCCCAGTGTGACAGAATGTCGCTGAGCTAACGGCACACTGCAGTCAACTGTCCCACGTTTCGAACGAGAGTTAAAAAGGACGTGAGTCTGATCTGTTGCGTCTTCTTTTATCGATATAAGTGATAAATCCATCGAAGTCAGACGGCTTCTTATGCAACTGCGGGGAGGTGGTGGGGGTGGGAGTTGGAAACGTGCGAACATGTGCACGCCGCACTTTTCAGATGCAAGCCCTAAAGGAACCAGCAAAGTTGACTGGGGTCGTCGCAACGTCACCAAACGTCGACGTTTCAAGCACTGAGAGCATTTAAAAGCTGCAGAGCAACATTTCCGGCTTAAACTGTAACAGCGTCGGCCGCAGCGGTTTTGTTTTGTTTGAAACGTCAGCTCTTACGTCACGGATGAAAAACAACTCTTGGAGCAGACACGCGACAAATAATAAAAAGACACGCGACAACACGGTTTATAGGAAAGGCGCGAATTTTCAGCTGGGAGGGAAAAAAACAGAAAAACTCGCAAGACTGAAGTTAAAAAAAAATATAAATAAACTCGAGCACGCGGAGTTGGCTTATTGTTCGCGCGCGGGCCGGTTAGTGAAACCCACGTTAACAAACAGCGTGGCGTGAATCCCACGGTCCACGCGAAATGGTCGCTTTACCTTTGACGAACGGAGCGCAGCTGGAGACAGACCGACCGACCGACCGACAGCCGCGGAGGAGGGGAGGAGACGCCAGTAACAGCCTCCAGCATTGGACGCCCGGTCACGTATTTGACCCCCGGTGGGGCTTTTCCCTCCTACCACTGCTGCTGCGGGACCCGCGTGGAGCCGCTCAGGGTTACTGTCTAGACTCTTGCGTCAAGTGTAAAACAAATCAACTTCAATCTTAGTTATTATTCTTATTGTTTTTTTATTATTATTTTTCATTATGTGCAATGTGAAGTTCACAGTTGAGCTCAACAACCACTATAACCTGAAACCCGAAGAAAAAGAAACAAAACATTTTAAAAGTAAAAGTCAGGAGAAGAAATGAAAACAATGGAATAGCACCAATGAACAATACAGTATAGCTGATCTGAACAAGCTTCTTATGACATAGAAAGCAGTTTGTTTTAGCTTGTTGTTGTGGCAAGACTGGTGTTAAAAATAATCAAAAGATGTGGCGAGATGTTACAAAAGCTAATGTACTACAGGGCTGGGCAAAATAAATCTAATTGAGCAATCTTTTCTCATTTTTTTCTCTCTGGTAAGAGGATTACACTACAATAACAAATTAGATAATCACATAAGGAGAGAAAATAATAAAACAGCCACTTGAGACGAGAAAAAGAAAATCACATCTATTTTTTGTTGTTTTTTTGTTTTTTCCCCCAAGTTATAAAAGAAACTGAATATAAGTTTAGAAAACTGTGCAAGTACAGCAAACCTATAGTACAGTATATTACACATCACAAACCAAAATTAAATCAAAATTAAATACAGTACTGTGTTATCAGTAGAAATCCTGAGAGTTCTCCGTTCCTGGTTCCCGAGTGGCCGTGTTGGGGCCGCGTTGGAGAGGCCCGGTCCGCACGGATCGCTTGTGAAGCAGAGTCTTTTGGAGGTTCTTGTCCAAGCAGTGTGATCAAAATCAGCTCAATGTCTTTCGAACAGCGGGCCTTCTCTCAGAGAAGTAAATATGTCCTCAGAGTCCTGGCTGGATGTGACTCATTAAAAGATTCGTTTCCATGTAAACCTTCTTGTTGATTGCTATATATCTATATATTTACCGACACGTTTTTAGAAAATAGAGGGGCACTCTTGTCTGGTGATGTCAAAACAAACAACAAAACAAAAATCAAACGCGTGCAGTGCTTCAATGACATGACAACCTGCATGAGAAAACTGAGCACTGGAAAAAAAATAATAATAATCACTTTGACAGGGAGGACAAGTCGATTGTGGGTTTTTTTGTTGTTTTCTTTCTTTTTACACAAGATTGTCTAAAAAAGCAGCACCAACAGTTTGTGCCCGAGTGATGGCATGGAAAAAAAAACTACAACAAAGAATAGAAGAAATAAAAACATGGCTGTTAGAACAAACTCCAAACCCTTGCGTAGGTCTCGTTTGAGGGTGCATCGTAAAGTTTGCAGTTAAGGACAACCCAAGTGAATAGTAATTCAGTGCAATGCTGAGCTGACATTTCAAATGTTCTTCATGAGGACAAACGTTAACAAACAGCGTGGCGTGGATTTGGATGCCCCCCACCCTTCGGACCCCCCCCTTTTATTTATTTATTTTTTTAAGCCACAGGCACATTGGCGTCACACATAATCTGCACCAAATTACACATCAGTCCAAGTCTGCACCCATGGAACCGCCAACAACTACTGGTACGAGTACGACCATTACCCCTCCCACAAACAAGCAAAGACAAGCAAACAAAAACATTAATGCACTAAGGTAATACAAGATAATAAAGCCTAATCACAGTTCATTGATTTATTGCTACCACAAAATTAGTTTCAACGTCCACGACTATCACAAGACCTTGAATGCTTTTTTTTGTTTGTTTTTCCTTTAATGGCGTTTCGTCAACCTTTTAGAAAATTACAACAACGCGAGGCCGAAAGCCAATCGAACATCCGAATCCCAAGCAGAGCTTTTTACACGGCTGTTCTGTCGTGACAGAACGGCCTGAAGACGTCCCTTTTCTCCACGTCCGATGAATCTGAGGTAAACCTGTTAGTTGGTCGGAATTTGCCGCTTAGTGTTAGCACAAAGATTTGACTCCGTCCTTATATCTCCAATGTGGAGAGTGAATACTCTAAGACTTCACTTAAGTTAAAATATATTTGCATATGACACACAACGGATGCCAACTCGAAAAAACAAATGAAAGCGCGAGCCGCATTCGATTGGTATCCAAAAAAAGAAACAAAAGTTCTAGTTCCATACAATGTGGTTTTATATGCTGATGCTTGTGGAGGAATATGGGGTAATAAAACAATCTAGGCATGGGCCGGTTATTGGAACGCCAAGGTTTTGAACAACCAAGGATTCAAGGATCTTGAACGTTTTATGGAAGATCTCATTCAGGTGAACGTCTTTTTCAACAAGATGTCTGACAAGTTCCAGTTTCATACAGATATACGCAGCGTTGACTCTTCTCCCACCTGTTGCGCTGCACCACCATTCGGCTGGTTGGAACAAGGATTCTGATTTTTCCTACTGCTTAACCAAAAGACACATTGATCCATTTGAGATTTTCCATTACAAAAAAAACAATGTGAAATGAAAGGAGTGCCACTCAGCACTGTAAAGGGGAACACCTTGGTGCCCTTCAATACAGAATGCACATCAACTGGCACCTTTAACACGCTTTGGTGTGTTGCACCGAAATGTATCAAGGTAAGAATTGCTGAACTCCAGTCTATTTTAGCTGAAACATTGAATAGAAAAGATTTCAAGCGTATTGTGGGGGGCTGTTGCCTTGTCAGACAGAAAACTGATACTAAAAATGCGTTTTAAAACTTTCCAGAGCAGATAGCCTGACTAGCCTGTGTTATTTGAACAGCTGAATTACAAAAATTTTTATTTGCACAAAAGTTGTGAACTACTGCAAAATGGGCACTTATTGTTTTAATGCATCTAAACCTGACTGTCAACATATGGTATTTATATAACTGACTAATAGTGAATATAATGCATTTCTGAAGTGGTAGGAAAAGTTTTATCCACTTTGAATAAATTCTTAGTCATTACTTTTAAATTTAGAATTTCCATAAAGGCCCATACCTAAAACTGTCATGCTTCTGCATTTTAAAACACTAGGATAATTGAAATCACAAGCACACTTCACAACCAATTTAAAAATAAGCTGGAGAAGGATGGACAAAAAAACCCAAAAACAAAAACAAAAAACCCACGCACACACAAACAAGCCTCCGAGTTAGCAACCAAGTAATGAGCTATGGTACTCTCCTTACCCGTATGAATTTGGAGCTTATATAGTTATTTATATATAGATATTTTCACTTTATGGTGACACTTAGAATCCTCATCTGCAGACAGCATTTTATCATCCAAACACCCTCATTAGTATGCCAAACATAATCAATAACTTTTAATCTCAAACAAAACAGACAAACATGGCTCAACAAGTGAAAATAGGATAATTGCACTTATGATTTGTTGTAGGGTTTTGTTAAACATGCTTCAGTGTGTGTAGTTGGTGCTGTCTAGAAAAGAAAAAAAAATACTGCAATCTTTCAGCCCACCCCCATTTTGATCACGTTAAACCAAAGTTTGAACAACTTAAGACTTAACAGAAAAACAAAAACAAAATCTGCATGGTGTAAAACCCAAGGTAACTCCAGGCACAAGGCAGGCAGAACCGACACCACTTCCCCCACGCCGCTTGATAAGTTCATTGTTTAGCTCAAAGCACTTTCTGTAGACACTGTGGGTAAAGTTTGGCCACCACACATTCAAAATGGCGACCTAAATCCCAAAGACGGTCGGGGGTTTCATAGACTTTGGTCCACTTGTCTGCCTCGTCGTCGTACTGGTAAAGGGAGTTCTTGCGGCTGGTGCGAAACACATGCTCCTCCACCATGACCTGCGTGGCACGTACGAACAGGTGCAGCGTTCCCTGCAGCAGCATGGCCTTGATATACGGGCTCGTGGCTTGGTCAAAGGGCAGATTTCTCTTTCGGCTCCATGTGTTGCTCTCTATGTCATAGACCTCCAATGTAAAGGTGCGTTGGTGGTTCCTACAAATTCCAGCAATGTAGTAGATGCAGTTCTTATACAAGGCAGCCAGACCTTGACTCCGAGGGATGCTCATTGGTGCTAGATGGCTCCAATAGTCCTTACGGGGGTCGTAGCAGAAGAAACATTCACCTGAAAAGGATTTTAAAAGATTTTAATTATAAGTGATGAACACAAGACTTTTCTTTAAGAGTATAAACTCACCTTGGAGGACGTAGATCCGGTCTTTATATTCCACTGCACTGTGAAACTCCATAGCAACTGGCATTGGACTGACTGCCATCCAACAGTTGTCTCTGGTATCGTAACACTCCACTGACTTTAACGCGTTCCGTCCGTCCCCTTCGTAAACTCGGCCTCCTAGAGCGTAAAGTTTCCCGCAACAATGCACGAGTCTGCATCCTATCCTCGCTCTCAGCAGAGGAGCGCGAGGAAGCCATCGGTTTCCTGCGTGCTCATATTGCCAGAAATCACTCTCCGCTCGATGGTCGATGCAAACCTCACTGTTGCTCGGTCGGTAGCCGCCAGCGATGTAGATGTCGTTCTCCGGTGACACCAAGATGCCAACCTCTCTGAGATCGTTGGGTGGCTTGCAGAGCTTGAACACCCGTCCGGTGGCCGTGTCCAGGCAAGGCACCGTCTGCTTCTTACCTGAGTGTTTATGGGCCGCGTCGAAGCAGATCACCATCTCAGAGGCCGTCATACCCAGACGCTGTGGACAGCCGTTTGTGGCGGTGAGACGAGCTTTTGCTTCAGCAGGGTCTTTTGAGAGCGTCAGGGCGCAGGCAAAAGGCGCGGGTATCCGACTGAAAAAGGCTTCATCCAGCAATGGCAGACGGATGCACTGGGAAAACACCTCTGCAAGGTTGGCTTCACGGCCAGGTCGGTCATGCTCTAGCCAGCGGACGATGCTCTCGTAGACGTGCTCTTCCTTCTCCACATTTAGGTCATCGCTGTTTAGAATACTGACCAGCTGCTCCTTGGTCATCTGGAGAAATTCTTGCTCCCTTGAAACACACAGGAACTACCACAAAAGATGCAAAGTTTAGGCCTGCACACAAACACACTGATTGCAAAGTAGGACTTTTACAGGACAAAGGTGATGTTACGTCCCCAAGGCAGTCTATTATGGTTCCCTGAACAGGTCAAGAAAACATACATGTTTTTCTTGACAAAATATGTTAATTGCATTTCTTGCACAAAAGTAGTCTTAGATTTTAGTTTGGTCAGCTCTGCCTATTTTGAACTACTTTCAGAAGGAGCTGCTTCAGGCCCTCTTGTCACTTTAAATTCAAATGAGCTGCTGCTGCTGCTTTCCATGTTATCCATGTTTCCATGTTATCTTATCTAATCTTAATTCACATGTAAAAATGACTGCAAATAAATGCACAATTATACAACTGCACATCTTTGAAAAGCAGTAGTAGAGCCTCCAACACAACCAACAAGAATGCAGAAAACTGTTCTGAATAGTAAAACAGCAACAAAATAGTTGGCTTTTGAAGCAGTAAAACCAGCTGATCAAACATGCTGGAGCACCGCTTGGGTTGCTAAGTGAAGGCACAGTGACTGAATTGACTCAATTGAGCTTTTGAAGTGGCTCATTCTACAGACAACAGAATTAAAAACAGCTTGATGGGTTATTTCTCCCCTCGCCCCCAATGCTTGGGTTATTTTTAACAGCAGTTGAGACCCATATGGAAGTGTATAAAAACATGCAAAAAGTTAACTTTGCATAACAGGGCCCCATTAAATTATCCTAAATTGTTCAACTGACCTTCTTGCGAATGTAATCCTGTGACCGTTCCCTTAACTCTTGATGTCCATATGCATCTGCGAACATGAAGACGCCTATACAGTTTTGAGGGTCAAGTCGGCTGATCATAAACTGGGCACACTGATCCTGCAAAGGAGGGATCTGGAAAATGCTGGCTGCCGTGAACAGAGCCTGGACGTTGGACTCTGAGAGCACGACTCTGGAGGTGTAGGCATAGTCAAGGACGAGATGCATGGATTCAGATTCCACACCCACAATCCTGACTTCACGCTGGCTGCTCTCCGTAAGGCCACTGGTGAACATGGACCTAAAGATGAGACAAAAAAAGAAACCCATGAAATCAACTGTACTAATTCATGTCTAGCATTGTTCAAACAACTGAAAAGTATTTATGTCAAATCATTTAACCTAAAGTATGGGCTGATGGCTGCAAGAACATTCCGGTGGCATGAGAAAGTCTTGCCGTGGTCCACTTCTACGACAATATCTGTGAGTTGTGCTTCATCGTACAAAACTTTGAGCTGCTGAAGGATGTTGCAGGCGTGGACAGCATCTACCCCGTTGTAGTTGGTGGCTGGAGGTGTCCCATTTTGTACTTGTAACAGCTTGCCTACCTCTAAAGAATGATGCAAGGAGAGAAAAAATTATTTCACCTTTTGAAATAACAGACAACTAAAAAAACAAAACACCTGGGCAATTGACTCGGAACTGTGACAAGTTATGCTAGAAATTAAACCTTTCCAGATTAGAAATTAAGGCCAATTCTCAACAAATCATGACAAAAAATGCCATGAAAAAAAAAATGGGGAAATTTATAACACCGTTTCAATGGCATCTCCTTTCTTCCCCTCACTCCACTATGTCTTAGAAAATCTTTGAGATATCTTAGCTGAATTTATATTTCCACACCTGAAACAGAAAATTGAATAATTTAACCGAGATCAGAAATGTTTAGGGCTTTTTTTTTTTTAGATTAAAATGCCCAAGTCTGAGAATATATAATCTCCATTTAAGAATATGGGAATGCATAATAAGATTAAACATGCTGCATAAGTCTGTATACTCGCGTTTCAGCAAGGGTCGGGTTTAGGTGTCAAGATATACCACGAGTTTGAATTAAAAGATACCAAAAATCGATGTAGTTTTGAAACCAAAGTCACGTTCCAATAGCCTTAATATTAAAACGTCACTGAAAGTTAAGAGCAATACATCATATCTCATCTACATCTTAATAAACCACTGCTTCTCAATTCCAGTTCTCAGGCCCCCCGGGCTCTGCATGTTTCACATGAGTCTGTATTTCAGAACAGCTGACCCAAATGATTCCACGATCTCTTTTGCAGTCAAGTCCTGCAGAAGCCTGTTAATCACCCACAGATTCAATCCAGGTGTGTGGCAGAAGGGTGAACACCCAACACATGCCTGAACTGAGAAACACTGTGCTAAACCCTGCTCGTCAGCTGGCCTACAGAAACTTATTTTGCGTACAAGTGAGACACATTTGGCCATTTTGAGACTGTTCTGTTCACAAAGAAATGCGGCCCGATAAGGTATTGGAAGTACCATTCATTACCCCTGATTAATATCTCACTGCAATAAAAATACAAACTATGTAGGTAGTTGCTTAATGACTGGGTGGAAATGATTAAAAACACCATGTTTCAACTCTCAGCACAATTCCTTTCCAGTATTTTTCTTTTTTGGGGGAGGGGGGGGGGTACTTCCTACTAGTTGACCTTAACTTCACAAATTTATACACCTAAATGTTTCCCAATTTCTAGCTAAGACACAAAGGGATACATAAAGTTATTATTTTTTACATACATATCTAAAAAGCATGAGGGGTCTGAGTTCCTTCCGACATTTGAGTCAGATACCAATAAGGAGAAACAATGAAGCTCTGGCTGTAGTGTCAGTGGACTGCAAGTCGTTTTAAAGGCTAATGTGGGTTCTAAAACTCATTTTAGGTTTGGTTTCCAACTCCGGGTCGAGGATTAAATCGGGACACCTGCTTAATGTACAAGTTTATAACCAAGTTAATTCTGTGGCGTTTCCCTAAAAATAGGAACCTTAAATTACAACATGACTATCATTACAAGTGTCAGAGCTGCACGACTGGCCTCACGGCGTCTAATCCGCAGCTTTGCCGTCTTGGAGAGACTTGAAGAAGCACTTTTCAACACATACCTCGCGTGAAGCAATACCAACTTCGTCTTGACAGGACAAAGGCTGGCAATGGCTGAATAGAAACTACTGTCTCGCCAGGTGGTAGCTAACTTGCTAACACGTCGAATGCCCGACGTCTGTTTCAGTAGCGGGGTGGGGGGAAAAAGGAGTAAGGACAAACTCCAAGAGTACCAAAGTACTTAAAATTGGTACAGAGTAGCGCAATATGTTCGTTATAATTAATTAGCTATACTGCCATTTCGGTTGGAAGACGTGGAAGCCCAACTTTCAGCGGCACATAGGCAGAGAGCTAATGTTAGCAAGCATTCTTTTGACACAAAACTGCGAGCTACAAGGGGCAAAAAGTGTTTTTAGTAGCTGCGTACACATAGTTTAAAACTATAAAGCTACATAACACGACATCACCCAAATGACTGCGTTGATATCATTAATGAATGGCATTTGTCTAGCGTCAGCCTCTTGTCACAAACAAGTGTTTACACAATCAGCTGTGTGTAGCGAGCTAACCGGCCGAAAGTTAGCCGCACGGCTAACGTTAGCAACTTAGCCTGGCTAACGACAAACAACTGTTTGGAGTGGTGATAAAGAGGCATGACTTCCTCCGACGAGTACGCAGCGTGCCACGACATTTAACTCGCCCGACAGGCCGTGCTCCGTTAGTTGCTAAACACACACGCTGTGGCTTTCAAAAGCGTTATTTCAACGTGGTCAGAGGAGAAAACAATGAAGACTTTGCTAACCTCCACTGGCAGCCATTCTCCCCAGTCTGTCTCAGAGCAGACCGAGAAACGTCAGGGAGTTTACATACCAGCAACGGAAAAAAGAAGCGGCCAATCACAAGACGGGCTCCGGCGCGACGGCCAATCAGATCGTGTTTGTCTGGTACAAAGGGGAGAAAAGTTAATAGTGGGTGGCAACGTTTGTCAATGGGGTGGAATTAACGCAGGAGGCTACAAATCAGAGCTGATGCTCATTAACAGGTGCGAGCAAAGTAAGAGCAAAAAACTTTGCACCTTAAATTGCTGCTAATTGCTCTGGTTTAGAATAGTTTTAAAATTAAATAGCCACGAGTCAATAGATTGTTTACACATGTCCCTTTAAAACCAGAAAGGAGCAAATGTAAAGAAATAGGGACAGGAAAAGAGGAGAAGTGTGTAGTTTGCTCAATTTTGAGAGTTCTGCACTTAATAAGCAATCATGACTGAAATAAAAAAATGATTCAAGTCTTTTAAAAAGAAAAAAAAAGATCAATTGCAACATCACATGATGGGGTTTTGTATGCCTGCTTAATTCATGATTTAGTTGGGGAATTCACAGGGTGATTTGATGCAAACAATATATTATTTTATTTTTACGTTTTGTGTGTCGTACACCTGTCAGATAAAAACGTTCCGAGCACCAAATGGAATAATGCAATACATCTTCCTCTTGAAATCTGTAAGTGGGAGTGGGAAATATTAGCTAAACACTTTGTCCCTGACATCGTCAGAAGCAGGAAGATCAGACAGGACTTGGACTTCAACCCAGTTTGAATTTCAGACTTAAAAAGTTGGATTTTACATAACAAAGTCAACCAACATGGCCGTGGCATGAACAAACCGCAGCAGAATCATTTGGTGAGATCCGAGGATGTCCATTATGTTTTATACCGACAGTGGACACAAAAAAGAAATACTGTTGCAAAAAGAAAAGAGTTTTTATTTCTTTATTTGTATTTTTTTATGTTCTAACCTGTTCACAAACAGCAGCTATGTTAGTCTTGGTGGTCTGACTGTTTACTCACTGCTTGACCACATCAGGAAGTTGAGTCATCTTTAATCACCCCTTACCTTTAATCTAAGTTTCCAGTTGTTTCACAATTCTGGGTCAAAAAGTGTTTCTGGAAAAAGTGTTCAGTGGAGAGACTTTGTTTGGTTTTCCCCTGTGGGTCATAAGCAAGCATCCTATCTGCTTGCTTAGCTTTTCACGACAATGAAAGCATAAATCCTAAATTTGTCTGCTTTGCAAATTCCCACAACTGTTTGTGGGTAAATATAATATCTTTTGTTTTAACATGTTTCTGGTTCAACCCAAACCTGTTTAAATCCTGTTTACAGACACATTCATTCATTCATCCTGCACATTGTGTACTGTTGTCTATCCACGGCAGGACAAGAGGTGGTGTGCACCCTGAGCAGGTCACCACTCCAGCAATTCGTTCTGAAAAAACAAAACATAAGAGACGTTCTGTCAATTCTGACAGAACTTGAGAAAGAAGTTTCTTATTCAGGATCATAATTATTGTATCTGAACTTTAGTCAGAGTTTCTCCATCTACAAACAAAGTTAGACTGGATCGCTGCATTAAAAATTAATGCTATTATCTAGATTGCGTACTTCGGGCTCTCCTTCCCACGCAGACTGCAGGAACAATCCTACGCTCCTGGGGGCAGAGGGAGATGATAATTCATCACTATTTGAATTGTCTGTCTGAGTTGGGACTTTGCTGCAGTGGGTCATTTCACATTCATGCGGCAACACCTGCAAACCACCGGCTGTCAAGAGAAATGGACTAATTGCTGTTTATTGAACACTTTGATTGCGGTGTAATCCTCGGGTGCTGAGGCACTGTTATTTAATCACTTTTTGCTTGTAATTAGAATTCATTCATTAATAGGTTTGTAGGGGAATTACAAAGACCTGTCTGACAATGGCATTGTTCAAACACATCGCCGACTGCGTCCATTGAATATTAAGTATTTATAGCTGTATGTAACAAGCAACACTCAAACTCTAGTGGTAGTTTCACCGCGCTGGCTTTTTCAAGTTTTATCCAGAATCCTGAGATGCCCGGTCGAATAATTGAAATGAAACCGCAAGCGGCTACGGACCTCTATGGCGGTCGGTTACCATCGTAACTCAATGCAGGCTGATATGAAGACACTGCTGATGAAAAAGGTTCTGCAGATTGCTTGGGAAAGTTCCCATGCTGGTGGGTGGTGAAGACAGGACCGGTGTTGATCCCCTCCCAAGTGGAGACCAAAGAAATATGGTTTCTTTTCATTATTTAAAATAAATACAAAATGACAATTAAACTTGTGTGACATGTCAGAAAAGTACAAATCAATGAATGAATAAATAATCTGAATTTTAAATCATGAAACGTTTCTAACTAATTTCGTCGTTTCCGCAAGTAAATATCAATTAAACATCTATATTTTACAGTACCGTTTTTGTTTGCACATAATTCTTATACACCTGCCAGGACATGCAGGTACAGCATTTGTGTCTAATTAGAAAATGCGTATAATACTAGTGAGAAATGCACCTGTACTCATCACTGGTACGAGTAATACATTGCCAACTCCGTAAAATAATGGAAAGTGTCAATATAGTTCCATTACACTGGAGGTATATTGTCAACTTTGAATATAATGGAAAAAAAAAAAAAACATATTTTTCAAATTGGCAAAAATGTAAAAAAAAATTACATAGGCCTTTATTTTAGGAAGGTGACAATATTGATTTTGGACTTTTTAGGATGATTTGAGCCATTCCCAGTGGACTGAAAATGCAACCTTGAGGCTGAGTTTCTTTCCTCTAGAGGCAAATGGCTTGTCTATATTAGCAGCAACAGTTTTAAGTCAGTGTGGAAAAGATGCTGGTCTTGGAGTATTTCATCATTAGTTCATTCTGACATTCCAGAAGTTTCTCATTCAGGATAATAATGATAGTTCCTGAATTGTTCCTTCACAATTTGGGATCTTCCTGTTATCTGCAGATGCCCAATTGGAAAACTGTGTGACGTGTAACTATTCAAAACCCCGGAAAAAGAACAGAACTAATATATGATTTAAGGTTTGATGTTTATGCTGATTGGGAAACTTTTCTCTGGCAGTGCAACAATATTTTCAAAGTTCTTGTTTTGCTAAAAGTCTGAACAAAATGCATATCCAAATGTGTATACAAGCATACAATCAAAACCCATCCGCAGTCGGCTTTCGGTTTAGATTCAGATTATCCATCTATCATTTCAACATGCAGCAAAAAGCTTGCTTCGAACCTGAAAGTACCACCTTTTTTTTTTCTGGAGTTCCATCATCAGGACTGTGTGGGCTTGAAATGTGCTCTAACGCTGCGTAACGCTGTAAAATGACAGAAGAAGAGACAAATAAAAGTACAGCTGCAATCTTAGCGATCGATTTCACATTTTTTTTGCCAATTTCTCCCCATTCAGCCACACGGTGGCCTGTGAAATTGGGCCTACGCTGCAGCCGAATCAAAGAAGGGTGGAAAGAAAAAAGCCTTCTTGGGGCTGCTGTTATTTGATGATAGCTCTGGTTTCTGATTATCCATCCCCCTCCCAATGTCCCTTTTTGAAACAATAAAACCCATCACCTGATATCTCCACTTTCTACTTTCCCTTTCTCGTCTTCGCACTGAATTCTGTTGCCATGATCATTGGCCGCATTTACAATATTTCATCCCGTCGAACTGAAAGGCCACGAACAAATAAATTACAGAAGGATTTTTATATTTTTTTTTTCATTTAGCCCTTTGCATCATCCGGAGAACGTATAGGAACAGGTGACCTACTCTATGGCTGCTTACCCTCAGACACCAGAGCTGCTCTCTCCTTTTATCCTGTATATTTCTCCTGATGTCATATCTTTGGAAAAGACGATGAGTGTTCACGGTTCAGTGTTAAAATTTTCCATGAAATAATTACATTTGTTTGCCTGCAGCCTATTACATGCAAACACTTGGTGTTGTCAGCGATTTCGCATCTCTTAAACTGCAACACGGTAAAAGGCGTGGAAACAAGTCAGAAAGAGGGATACGAGAGGGTGGGTGTGTGTAATTGTTGCTCAAATGTGTGTGTTTCTGTCAGAGATGGAGGTAATGGGTTATAATACGGCTCTGCGGGGTTGTGGAAGGATGCCTGCAGATGTTTGCAAGCAATGGACTCCTCCACCCCACAGCTCTAAAGGGGACTAACAAGCTCACTATAGGAGGCTGCGGTAAATACTGAGCCCGTGACTCTTTTTCACGTTTAGAAAGAAAGAAGAAGAAGGAAAAAAAATCATTTTCCCGCTCTTCTCCCGCAGCTTTCTTTGTCTCAAACATCCGCTGAGGAGCCGATGAGCCGATGGTCTGAGGTCCCCCCCAAAAAAAACACCTTAATTTCAAAACAAATCAGCTGCAACATCTCAAACTATGGCACAAGCTGCTAGACGCTGGTTTATGTAACTCCAACTGCAGAATGTCTTCTGGTTTCGTTCAGTGAACAGATAATAGTATTGGCAACAAGTTTTGACTTGCAGCTTTGTGGCGCAGCATTCAGGGCAAGAATAAGCCATTTGTCGTCTGAACTCCAATTTTGGATTGTTCAACAAGCCAAGCACCATTTGGCTCTCTCTTTTGTTGGGCTGTGAATGATGCTAATGGTGCTAAAGATTAAGTGCTAAACTACCATGCACCTGCACCTGAAGACAATTTACGAGCTACCAATCTGCTTTAGCCAGAGTACCTGGAGTACCTGGAGAGAACCCACACAAATACGGATAGAACGTGAAAACTCAAAGCAGTAAGCCAGCGTTCTGAAATAAAAAAGACACTTTTACCCATCAAACGGTAGTTATTCAGTCAATCAAATCAATCAAATTTTATTTGTATAGCACATTTCAGCAGCAAGGCATTTCAAAGTGCTTTACATCATAAACACAAAGTCATGCATCATGGAATAAACAATACATTGTTACATATTACATTTCAAATACAATTCTAAACAGGCGTGTTTTTAGTTTA